GACAGACAGACAGACAGACATACATGACAGACAGACATACAGACATGACAGACAGACATACATGACAGACAGACAGACATACATACATGACAGACAGACAGACAGACAGACAGACATACAGACAGACATACATGCATGCATGCATACATACATACATACATGACAGACAGACAGACATACATACATACATACATGACAGACAGACAGACAGACAGACATGGCAGACAGACAGACATACATGACAGACAGACATACATACATACAGACAGACAGACATACATACATACAGACATGACAGACAGACAGACAGACATACATGACAGACAGACATACAGACATGACAGACAGACATACATGACAGACAGACAGACATACATACATGACAGACAGACAGACAGACATACATACATACATGACAGACAGACAGACAGACAGACAGACAGCTCACCTGGTGACTGGAGCGCTGAGGTCAGATGAATTAAGAGAAGAATCATCCAGCTCATTGATTCAGACATCAAGAAACCGCAGATTTGGTGTAAATGAATCTGATAAACAAGACAAAACTGAAGGCCTGTTCACACCACAAACTATAACCATAATGATACAATTTTAAAAATCGCTCTAATTGAATGTGTATAGTGGAGTCTACACACAACTATAAGAATGTTGTTGGAATCACTTTTCCAGCTGATGAACGATAAAAAACATCATTTGACAGATGCCAGATCTTTCATTTGTGATAACTGATCTCTGGCTAATTTGTATGTAATGACATCATATAATGAAGATCAAGGTAACAGCCTAGTGATAAAATGGCATAAAAGTTCTAATGGATAAATAAAATGTGCAGCCATTTAAAAAAAAATTATTCCCAATTATTTTTCACCATTTTTAAAATTTGTACAGGCTTTGTATTTTTCAATGTCAAGAGCAGGCCTATTGTAATTAGCAATTCATTTAATTTTGAAGCGGATTTGTTATACGTGACAGCATTAATTTAAGTTTATTAATCCATCTTAGATGGCATAACTGTGTTTAAATTAATTGTGTATCATAAAAAACTGTATGACTGCATAATTATTCCTTACCGAATAAAACTCTCAATGAGTAAAATTGGTTGTGTCTGTTATTATAGATTACGCAACATTTTAATTACTTCCAAAATAATTTAAAAATTATAATTTGTTTATTCTTATTTTCCTGGTTTAATAATTTACTCTTGTAAGAAAGTAGCAGTGGCCAGGACAGACATTCACTATCATCTTCACTTAAAAAGATGCAATGTTTATGTAACACTCATGACTTTATTAATATTTGATATATGTTCTCCTAACGGTGAGAAAACATTTATATAACATTATTCTCAGAATGTTTTCATGATGTTATTTTTACTTGTTCATATAACATTGAGAAAAAACATTCTGTGCTCAAGATTCTTAGAATGTCTTGATGTTATTTGTACTTTAACATTAGACATTAAGACGTTTTTGTAACGTTTTAATCATGAAAACTGGACATTTAATGCTCTTAGAATATTAAAAAATAAACTTTTAAATAACGTAATATTTTGGGTAAAAATAAAATTAGCAGAAAGTTTTTGAAAAGACATTGAAATAACTTTCGAATCACAACAAAAAAATTGTCATTTTAACATTCTTAGAATATTAAAACTAATCGTTCAAATAGTGTTATATTTTGGGTGAAAATAAAGTTAGCAGAACATTGTAAGAAACATTTTTGTAACATTTAAATAACGTTATAATCACGACAAGAAATCTGGACATTTTAGAAACATTTCAAAACAATGTTCCCACAATGTTTTTATAACCTAAATTTGTTGCTCAGTTAAACATCTGTTAATGTGGACGCTAATATAGTTATTGCAATTTGCTATGGTTATTGTTCATGGTATGAACGGGCCTTAATGATAATGATGAACTTTTAAATTGTTCTAATTCCATGAGAATAAGTTCACAATAACCACAAATATAACGACACAGAGGAATGATATTGTTGGAATATAGTTATCGTTCTCAGTGTGAACAGGTATTACATTTTGTTCAAAAGTAGTTAATATCTACAGCACAGCTTTATATTAATATAATCACTAAAAACAACCCAAATCAAACAGAAAACATTCAAGCACAGATCTTTGAATTGTTCTCTGTTCTTTTGAATAATCATGAGTATTTGCTCACCTTTTTGAGTTGTTTGACTCGATTTAGGTCAGTCCAGAGGAGGTTCACTTTTACTATTTCAGTGTTTCTAAAGACAGCAGTCTTAAAAATCACTATTTGTACTGCACTACAGCATCGACCTTTAGACAGCCAGTGTTTACACACATATGAACACACACAACCTGCACGAACTCTCTTAAATCAGCGTAAACACTTCCACTCAACAATGACGGTTTAAATTAAACCAGATCACTGTATTAAAATGTGTTTACTAAACAGATAAACATGCATTTTGTCACTTTCATGAACTAAATGTAATCTGTTTGTCAGCCTATATGGTGTTGGGGAAAGTTACTTTTAAAAGTAATGCAATACAATATTGCGTTACTCCTTAAAAAGTAACTAATTGTGTTACTTTTTATGAAAATGAATGCATTGTTACTTTTGTGTTACTTTTTGTCATCTGGGCTGAGCTTGCTTATTTGTTTTTATTAAACAAAAAAAACAAAATTAATATTTTTGGCAGCTGTAAAGGCCCTTTCACACTAAAAGTGAAATGAATAAGCCTCAGGCTGAAGGAAGTGCCTCTGCACCTGGGAAAACAAATGGGAAAACAAAGTAACTTGCATTACTTGTTTGTAAATTTAAAAGTAATATGTTACTAGTTACTTGAAAAAGTAATCTGATTACATAACTCGAGTTACTTTTAATGCGTTACCCCAGCACTGAGCGCATATATATATATATATATATATATAAATATATATATATATAAATATATATATGTAACATGTTTATAAAAAAAAAATCCATATTAGTAAAAAACGAATTAAAGGGATAGTTCATCTAAAAATGAAAAAAAAAAAAAAGAAGCTTTCTAAAGATACTTTATGTAATATCTATTTCAGGCTTTTCTCATGTAACACAATAACGGCATTAAATTATCTTTTGTGGGCAATTTCTAAGCCAAATTTGATGTGTGATTAATATGCGATTAATTAGATTAATTAATCACCACACTGTGTAATTAATTAGATTAAAAATGTTTTTAAATTAATGTTTATGGAATGTTCTTATAACTTTATTAATATTTGATATTCGTTCTCATAACGTTGAGAAGAAAACATTCTTAGAACATTATTTTCTGAATGTTCTCATGATATTATTTTTACTTTATGAATTTTCTTATAACGCTGAGGGAAAACGTTCTGAGATCAACATTCTTGGAATGTTCGTATGATGTTATTTGTACTTGATGAACATTCTAAAAAGGTTTTTGTAACCTTTACATAACATTCTAATCACAACAAGAAAACTTGTTTAACGTTCTTAGAATATTAAAAATAAACATTCAAATAACATTATATTTTGCGTAAAAATTAAATTAGTAGAATGTTTAAAAAACATTTTAGTCACCTTTAAATAACGTTATAACCATCACAAGAAAACTGGACATTTCAATGTTTTAGAATCATTTCAAAACAATGTTCCCACAACGTTTTTATAACCTACATTTGTTACCTGGGTAATCGTCCGTCAGTGTGAACACTAATATTGACCATCCATAGAGCGATTCTTTTGAGTCACTCAGTCAATGAATGATTCCTCAGTGAATCGTTCAGTAAATGTTCTGTCTGACAGTATTGTTATCGTTAACTAAAACTATTAAAAATCACTTTTGTTAATCGAAATAAAGCTGAAATAAAATTAAATACAAACATTAGATGAAAAACTCAAACTAAAAATGATGCTTTGGCAACTAACTGAAATAAAATAAGTTTAATTTGAAGCACCAAAATTACTCAAACTAAAATAAATAAAATAATTAATTAAAGCTAAATAGAAATAATAAAAAAAAACATTAAAAAAATAAATAAATAAAATAAAAACAGAAAATATACAAATAAACGCTAGTTCAAAACATTAATAAATAATATAATATTAATATTATATTATGCTAGGTGACTGTGGAGGTGTTTTTAGTTACTGTGAATGTTACAGTATGTCACATCAAACTCTTATTATTATCTTATTAAAAGAGCAAGAAATGTTTTGTTTTCATCATATTTAAAGGGGTGGTTCACTGGTTTTTTTCTAGGCTTGATTGTGTTTATGGGGTGCAGTCTAACATGTGTTAATGCTTAGTTTTTTAAAAAACGCATTATTTTTCACATAATTTACCTTTATTCCACACCGCTCTGTCCCTTCTCTGAGAAACACGCTGATCATTTCCTTCTTTTATGAAGCCCCTCCCTCAGAAATAGGCGATGGGCTCTGATTGGTTAGCTAGCCCAGTGTGTTGTGATTGGCTAAACTGCCTCTAGCGCGTGTCTAATCGTCCCGCCCCTCACCTCAGCGGCATGTGCTCCGGTTGTATTGTAAACAACGGCATCGTTAATATCGCTTATCAGTTTGAGCCCGATTGAGAAGCAGAGGATATTACTGAAGAGGATCGTGCAGAACCTGTGCAAGCACGGCTTTTAATGGTAGGCCTATGTTTTGTGTTTGTTGTTGTCTCGTACTTTTAGATACGCTGTTGTAAATGCTACTGCTTATGTTAGCTTTTAATATACGGTTTTATCCTGATTAAAGCTTTAATACAGTACAGCAACCCATGCTTAATGCTTCTCATAGCTATGTGCAAATAAGAATATAATTGGAACAGTTCATTGTCCGAGCTGAGCTGAATGAGAGAGAGAGAGAGAGAGAGAGAGAGAG